AAGCCTTATTAGGGGACTACTGGTTATTTACCTTGTAAATGAAGAGGGACTAATCAAGAACTAATGGGTAGATACCAAGGAAACCAAAGAGGAACGAACCAGGAGCTAATGGGTAGTTAACCAGTGCTTACTGGGAAACACAGCCAAGGCTTATTAGGGGACTACTGGTTATTTACCTTGTAAATGAAGAGGAACTAATCAAGAACTAGTGGGTGGTTACCAAGGAAACCAAAGAAGAACGAACCAGGAGCTAATGGGTAGTTAACCAGTGCTTACTGGGAAACACAGCCAAGCCTCATTAGGGGACTGCTGGTTTGTTACCACATGAACAAACCAGTAGGTAATGGTCAGGTAGTGATTAAGTAATGATTGGTTCCTCAGTAAGTACTTGGTATGATGCTTCACTATCAGTGAACAAAATAATAGCTAGGCAATGATTTGGTACTCAGTAAGTGATAGTCAGACATACAGGTAGTTAAGATGACACCAGTACAAGGTTATGAAAATGGTAATGTCTTTCATCAATAGGTTTACATAAGAGAAAATCCAATAAAATCAGTAATTACTAGGAAACAGGTTTATGACAATTACAAGCTGTGACCTCACGGTGCAGGGTTTATTCAGAACCCACATGGAGAATTTCTCCTCTGTTTCTCAGGTAACAAACCAGTAGTCCCCTAATAAGGCTTGGCTGTGTGTTCCCCAGTAAGTACTGGTTAACTAGCTCCTGATTCGTTCCTCATTGCCTTCCTTGGTAACGACCCATTAGTTCTTGATTAGTTCCTCTTCATTTACAAGGTAACTAATCAGTAGTCCCACAATAAGACTTAGCTGTGTGTTTCCCAGTAAGTACTGGTTAACTACCCATTAGATCCTGAGGCATTCCTTAGTAGTTAATCAAATACCTCATTGTAAAGTGTTACTGCAAATTTTCTAATTTTCTTTGATTGTATTTAGTGTTTATGGCATTTACCCATTCAAAAAGCAAAGAAGGTGTTTAACCCAGTGGGATCTGTCAACTAAAAAAGGACAGTGTTTATTTCATTCAACCTTTATTTAGACAGGTAAATCCCATTGAGCCTCGAGGACTCATTTGCAAGAGAGACCTGATTTCAACAAAGATCGATGACAACAATGCACAACAGCAACAACAATAAACAGTTATAAAAAGTCATACAGATTATTATTATTTTTTTACAAATAGGATCGCTAAAAAACTAAAAGTAACAAAAAACAGCTAGATTCTAAGGCGAACATAGAAAACTAAAAACAGGAACATGTCTGCATTGGTCTCTGCCAGGAGTCCAACAGATTCTTAAAGCCACTTTGTTGTTGGTTCTTCCATATCCCTTCAGCAGTGATAAAATGAATGGACCCAAGCATAGCTTTGTCATAAATGTATACATTCACAGTGCTTCTTCTGCCTTGGTTTTGTTGACACTGCTCAGCAATGTTTGAGCATCTTAATGCTCAAGTTAGTTGCATTTTTTTTTTTATTCTGGGTTGTCCTCATTCGAAAACTGCCTTCATATATCTCCATATTGAGTGCATTTAACTGTCTCTTTTTCAACCCTGCACTGCTAATCAGTTCCAAGTGAATTGTAAGTGGCAGGCTACTTTGTGCTAGAAAGAATAGCATTGTCTAACTTTGTACATTTTTAAGGTATTGGAATAAAACAGGTCAACAAGGACACCTCATTACTTATAAAGTTGCTTCTGGAAACAAAAAGTCAATAAGGACAATGGGCTAGCACTTGTTACCTCGTTACTACTTTAAATAGACTATTCTTTAGGTTGCAGAAAGAGATGTTACTTCCATTCATATTTCCAGAACTTTCTACACATTCACTGTCACATTCAACCTCACTTTGTCCCAGAGATGAACCGGAACAATCTTTCATATTATGTCTTGCAAAGTGATGCCATACACCTTCACACCTCTCCACTTTCTGCCCAAGACAGTGACAGGTATTCTAACAAGGTTGAGTCAGGTCCTCTGAATGGGCTCTTCTTTGATGAACTGTTTCGTCTTTTATCCAAAAGACCATCCCCATCTGAGGATCTGCAACAAGCTCAGTCTTATAAGCAGAACCTTCGATCAATCAGTTTGCTGGTGACATTAACTAGTTGTTCACATGCAAAAGGAGGAACATCAACCTAACAATTGATTGTTAGTGCTCTGATGGCCTCTTGCTATATACAGAGGGCTGAGTGATGCAATCACACCTTTATAAGGTGGGGACAATTGATGTGACACAAACGGTAATGTTGCTCCACCCATGCGGAAATGTAACCCAAGGTGAGCTAAACTCTGGCAAACAAACAAACAATATATCTGTATTGGCAGAGATAGTGAAGCTCGTGGCTGATGGTAAGGCATTTTTGTTTTATCAGACAACATTAAGGCAAAGATGACAAGCCAAAAAAAATAAAACAAATTCAATGATACTAATAACTTAAAATAGTTACTGCAGTAAATATTTTCGTGCTGCAGAGTGACACAGGACATGAATTTACAGTGAAATTCAATAATTGTAAATTTTACATTACAGTACATAACCTATGTTTTAATGCTTTGTGTAAAAAATAATTTAGTGTTAACTGTTCATAGCAAACAAAGACTAAACTTGTGCAACCAGAAGTTGCAACATAAATCTAAAAATGCACAAAACAAAGCACAGCTCGGTTTAAGCAGTAACCTTTAATTGATCCATTAAGCATACAATGTAATCATGACAAAAAATGGAGGATTTCTTTGCAGTTACCTTCGTACAGACAAAGCTATAACTTGACACGTTAATGGCCATGAATCAACCCAACACATACTCTGAACACTATCTTTTCCAAAACTTAAACATCTAAAGTGGTGAGCTACATGCATTCCTTCAAGAAACTTGTTTTCGCTTTGTTTTTCTTTAGCTTTTGAGTCACAAAAATGGGTTTTGTATTTGGACAAGTTTTAATCTTTTTGGGTTGTCT